GCCTCTTGGCACACGACCCAACCAATTCCTGAGGAGACAGCGCCCTAAAAGAAAAATTAGTAATTCCGCCTTTCTTTCCCTTCCATATAATATCATTTATGAAACTAGAGCAACGGTCAGAACTGGGTGTTCCGGCCTTGGAGATAACCCGTTCTTCCTCCCACGCTTAGGTGTTTGTAGCTATTGTAGCTCGCAAGCAGAGATGACAATATGTGTCTGTGTTTTTATCTTAGTGTGCAATAGCTTTTAGAAAATGTAGGCCTTCACATCTGTGTGTATTAAAATATACTGAAATGACTAATCCCTAACAGTTAAAAGATAAAAGTGACACATATATAATCACATCCTAAGTTAGCTAATGATAGCAAACATTAGCTAACTAGCTAAGTAACGACTGTGGTAAATTAGTCACCTAGTTAGCTAGGTTTTGCTAACATTTCAGATGTAACTAGCTAGTGAACAACTGATGTAACATTAGTGTTTTGCTCTGCAAACACTAGCTAACTAGCTAGTTTACAGTTGCCATAGAATAGCTGGCTAGTTATCTAGTGTTTAGCTGGCTAGCTAACCTAAAATGTGAATATAAATATGACACTTACACATTTAAACCATATCTAGCTATCTGGCTTGCTCAAATATTATTGGAGCACAAAGCAGAAAGGGGCAGATAGGGTCAATTACGCTTTAAAGATACATATTTCCCCTAAATGTGGCCACTGTGGCTCTTGATAATGCTAACTGTGACTCACCACCTCCGTTGTAGAGATTCTGGGAAAGTGTATCCAGGAAATGCACCAGATGCTAGATTGAAGGTGGGTTGTTCCCATACAGTATGGAGAGCTGCCTGTTTTGGTCCAGCCTGCCTCAGTCTTTTCTTACAGTTAATTTTGGCGAGGTGGAGCATGAGCCTGCAGTACGACAATGTCGATCAGGTTTTAACTTACTCAGCTGGGATCAGTCGCCAGACTTACTCAGTTCATTTCAATTTAAATTTCCAAGGGGCATTATCAACGGGTGCAGATCATAATGCCTCTGGACACTATTGGATTGATCTAAAACCAACATCAATCATCAGCTCTAGTCAAAGTGTTGGATGGACCAAAATGACAAACGTGAATTTGCTTCACCTGTGTAACTAATTGAAACAATCTGTATTGTTAGACAGCGTGGTTGGGACGTGAAGATGAAATACCTGTCTTTGGAGATGGCAACAACATCGTTCCCACTGTTCACATCAATGACCTGGCAAGGTTGGACACACACATGCACATCCATTTTTTGTTAATACTACCTTGAACAATTATTGACGTGAGGATATAGATTGCACCGAACCCTGCTTTCCTAAAGGCTTTAAGAAATGTGTTCTACATTGATAGAACTTAGACATAAGGTAACATTTATATGCCTTAAACAATATTTCTTTGTGTTAAAGTGTGATTCAGAACGTGATTGAACAACGGCCCAAGCCGTATTACCTGCTAGCTGTGGACTATTCTAACAATACCATGGGGGACATTGTGAAGGTGTGTATAGCAACTGATCAAGAAATCTTTTGTTAAATATTTGAGCCATGTCCCTGTGAATGGACTTAAAAAAGCCTGTTAAAATGACACTGTTAAAAACAAACATTCAAATGTTAGAGTTACTGATCAATTTTGAACTTTATTATTTTACACAGACAAAACAATGCAGGTTTTGCAATTCAGGTTGTATTACCTTAGTGACACAGTTGTACATGTTATCTTGGTATTTATATTATAATGTTTTCATATAGATGATGATATAATAATTCATGAACCGTTTCTCCGCCAGAACATTTCCTCTGCACTTGGACCAGGAAAGATCCAGAAAACACCAGTGGAGGAAGCCTTCCTCACAAAGGACTTGAGTGTATGTTGTACCTGTATAAATGCATTTATTTTATTCATGTGTTTATGCAAAAATCATTGTAACAGGTTACAATAACATACACATGCTCATTATGTGTACTATACTGCAGTGCTCCGGGGAGCTTGTTTTTAAATCTGGGCTTATACTGAATTATTTACAATCATGCTTTAGTATTGCTAATAAACTGATTTCTTACTAACTCAAAATTTTACAAAGCCTCAGAAGAAGTGCAACAGAAATACACTCTTTTTTTCTTTGAGATGACAAGATGAATCAATCTCATGTCTGCATGTTCAGTGCGCAGCTGGACGTGGTTGTAGTTCAGGATTAAGACTTGAAGCAAGGGGAAACAAATGGTTAGCGCTGTCGCCTCACAGCAGGAACGTCCCAGGCCCTGGCTGGGGCCTTTCTGTGTGGAGTTTGCATGTTCCCCTCTCTGAGACCCATATCCCAAACCAGAAGACAGGAAGTCGTCCATTTTAAATTTAGTGTTAATTTTAGCCGAGAGGTATTGGTAGTTATATTTTTGAACTTTGGACAGAGCCATGCTAGCTGTCTCCCCCTGCTCCAGTCCTTATACAAAGCAAGGCCAACCACCAGCTCTGTACATGAGATTGATATCCATGTTCTCATCTCACTCATAGAAACAAAATAGTGAATAGGCTTTAAGATGTGTTGACATGTTATTTCCCCTTGACAGGTAATGGAAATTGATTCCCTGCTGGTTAACCTTCGCATGGAGGGGGTCTATCTCAAGGAACTGCTCTCTATCAACTGGGTGTGTGAGTCTGGTCTGGTGGACAACATAGAGCTGGTAGCAGAGGAATACCGGCAGACCAGGGGACTGCTGGTACGTGCTACAGCAGAAAGCAGAACCTGTCCAAAGAATACACTAGTGTTAGAAGAAATATGAACTGTTCAAATCATGAAATGGCAAACGATATTAACATTTCATAGACGTGGTGTTGCTACTTTCCCAGATAAGTTGTACAAGATCATCCATGTAAATGTGTTCCCTTCAGCCAATCCGTCTGTGTGTACTGGGTCCTCCTGCGGTAGGAAAGACCACAGTGTCCAAACAGATCTGTGAACACTACAAACTCCATCACATCACACTGAAGGAGACCATCTCTGAAACCATCTTAAAACTGGTAAGCTTCTCCTAAGGCATTCAGATACACATGCACTATTGTTAAGAATATGACATACAGATATTTATTTACTTAATACTTAATATTTATTTTATACCCTTATAATTCCATTTTGATCTCTATTTCCAGGAAGATACTGTGAGGAATGCTGGTCCAGATGCAGAGAGTGAGGACACTGCAGCAGAGGCCCATGAGCTGCTGAACAGCCTGAAGGACAGTATGGAGCAGAATGGAGGTACACACTGTGACCAGTGTTTACCTCTCCGGGTCACTACAGCATTTAATCCCCGTCCTTAATCTTCAGTGACATAACGTTGGCTCTCTGGCTTGTAGCATAACATTAGCTTTTTGGCTCTTAGCATTAACGTTAGCTTTCTGGCTTATAGCACAACATTTTCTTTCTGGCTCTGTGTGGTGGCTAAGTCAGATATTTTTTCTGATGAGTTGGTGGAGACCAAAAATAGAGCCTAGAAAAGAGTAGTATTAATGGTCATGTTGTTTTCAACAAAACACAAACTCTAAGCTAATATATTATAATTCAATTCAGTGTTTATTTATAGCTGTGCCAATTTCATAACAGAAGTTATCTCATTGACCCACTTTCAAATAGGAGCAGGTCTAGACCGAACTACGAAATGGTAAAGGAACAACAAACGTGCTTAATAATTCGCTGTACTTTTTGTTATATTATTATTAAACTTGAGCAAGGAGGTTCAGTTATTAGTTTTTAGGCCTTTTAACCACATCTCATTGTCTTCAGCAAATTATATTATAGTTGGCATTATGTGGTTTTGGACTAAAGGTCAGGATATTTCAGACTTTGCTGCTTTGTTTTGGACCACTCATTTTTATTCTATCTTTCAGAAGTCCCCAGACTTTATCAAAGTAAAATACCACATAACTGGATGTTATTTTTAAACTTTTTGTCTGTTAGGTCTTTTGGATGAGCAGCTGTTGGTAAAGGTGGTGAGGGATAAGCTGATGTCTAACCCATGCAGAAACCAGGGTTTCGTCCTGGACAGCTTCCCTAAAACATATGAACAAGCTAAAGAGCTCTTCTACTGTGAGACACTGACACATACTACTGCACTCACTACACTCAGTATAACATGGATACATGCTATACGTACATACACATCTGTATTTTCTTTTTTTTCTAGCTGAAGATCATGAATCAGAAGATGAACCATCCCTGATTTTTTCAAACAGCAAGAGGATTATGCCAGGTCTGTCGTTCATAACAGTCCTGTTATTTTCCATGGTTACCATGGTTAGCAGTGAGATTTAAGCATGCTTGTACACCTAAATGAAGAGGAAGTTGCAACAAAACTACCCCTAAAGATAATAATGTAACGGCCTGAGCCTTTCAGTGATTAGTGTTGTAGTATTTATAATAGTTTGCTTGTGTGTTCCACAGAGTTTGTGTTGTGCCTGGATGCGTCAGATGACTTCCTGAAGAATCGGGTGATGAACTTGCCTGAGAGCCTGGTAAAGGAGCACAACTACGAGCAGGAGCACTTCCTGCAACGACTGGCCAGATACAGAGAGAAAAACTTGGAAGATGAAACTGTCATCAGCTACTTTGATGAGCTGGACATCACTCCTATGTACCTGGGTAAACCATGAAGCATGACCGGGGCCATCCATTAAGGGGGTAAAAGGGTAGCTTTCTGGGAGCCAGCGGCTAAGGGGGCCAACAGAGGCCAGCAATTATCATGTTCATCCTAAATACAAGCAATTATAACCAGTGTTGGGAGAGTACTGCGTTATAAAGTAAAGTACTTTAATTCCACTACAGTCGTGGTCAAAAGTTTTGATACAAGTATTGGTTTCCACAAAGTTTGTGTTCAGTGTTTTTAGATCTTTTTGTCAGATGTTACTATGGTATACTGAAGTATAATTAAAATCATTTCATAAGTGTCAAAGGCTTTTATTGACAATTACAATACGTTTATGCAAAGAGTCAGTACTGCAGTGTTGACCTCTACAATTCGCCCTGGAATGCTGTTAATCAACTTCTGGACCAAATCCTGACTGATGGCAGTCCATTCTTGCATAATCAATGCTTGGAGTTTGTCAGAATTTGTGGGTTTTTGTTTGTCCACCCGCCTCTTGAGGATTGACCACAAGTTCTCAATGGGATTAAGATCTGGGGAGTTTCCTGGCCATGGACCCAAAATCTTTATGTTTTGTTCCCCGAGCCATTTAGTTATTACTTTTGCTTTATGGCAAGGTGCTCCATCATGCTGGAAAAGGCATTGTTCATCACCAAACTGCTCTTGGATGGTTGGGAGAAGTTGCTCTCGGAGGACGTTCTGGTACCATTCTTTATTCATGACTGCGTTCTTTGGCAAAATTGTGAATGAGCCCACTCCCTTGACTGAGAAGCAACCCCACACATGAATGGTCTCAGGATGCTTTACTGTTGGCATGAGACAGGACTGATGGTAGCGCTCACCTCGTCTTCTCCGAACAAGCTTTTTTCCAGATGCCCCAAACAATCGGAAAGGGGATTCATCAGAGAAAATGACTTTAGCCCAGTCCTCAGCAGCCCAAGCCCTGTACCTTTTGCAGAATATCAGTCTGTCCCTGATGTTTTTTCTGGAGAGAAGTGGCTTCTTGACACCAGGCCATCCTCCAAACGTCTTCACACCTGCCTGCTGCCATTCCTGAACAAGTTCTGCACTGGTGGTGCCCCAGTCCTGCAGCTGAATCAACTTTATAAGACAATTGAACCTCTCTCCTTGAAGTTCTTGATAATCCGATAGATGGTTGGAACCTAAATTTAGGTGCAATCTTGGCTGGGCAGCTGTGGCTCAGAGGCCATACAGTAGATTCAGCCTATCACTGACAGCTGATATGTTCTTTATCAAACCTTACTGTGTTTCCTGTCATCCTTTCTTACCAGAGATCACCAGTAGCAGTGAACCAGACAGCTTGCTGCTGATGCAGAAGATTTTTGACACAGTGGGCCAGCCCAGGAACTACGGCCCCAGCAGCCAGGAGGTGGAGGAGGAGCAGAGGAGGAAGGCTGAGGAGAGGATGAGGAGGGAGGCCCTGGAAGAAGCCGAGCAGGAGAGGAAGGAGGCAGAGGAGGCCAGACTCAGGGTTGCACGCTGGGAGGAGTGGGTAGGTGCTGGGAGGACAGCTCCATTAGAGATAAGACTGGCTTCCAATCTATGCAGTGTACACAGTAAATTAAAGTCTGAATTAGTTGTAACATTTCACACATGCTTTAGCATTGTGTTGTACCATTATGTCCCATATTATCCATGCTGAACTTGTTTAGGCTGACAACACCAGATGCAAGCATCACATGCTGTGATGGGTGTCACAGAAAAAACCCCTCAAAGATCCACTTTACCACGTAGCTTTTACCGAAGGGTTCAGTCTTTCGCCTCCTACAGTCTCACTGGATGGAGTTTGCTCTGTTGTCTGACAACGCAACAAGAAAAATGTTTTATGCACCTTTTACTTGATCCACTGTGTGTCTAACCAAGTCTCGCTCAAGGCGAAGTCTCGTTCTGAAATCTCGGGTGGCTGGTTGCAGGAAGACAACAGTAGAAACATGAGCGAGTGTGGTGTGTGCAATACATACTGCACATTTAAGACGCTGTGCTAAACCAGAATGATCCTTTTAAGTGTTAAAGGCTGAGAGAAAAAAATGTTTTAAACTATGTTTTATATCTTTGTATATTATGTTTGATGCAGTGTGTGTGTGTGTGTGTGTGTGTGTCAGACTAAGGGTTTGGTGGAGGTGAGGCGGCAGGAGGAGGAGCTGCTGGAAGCCCAGTCGGTCCCTTTGAGGAACTACCTGATCGAGCACGTCATGCCCACTCTGACCCAGGGCCTAATGGAATGCTGCACAGCCCGACCACAGGACCCCGTGGACTTCCTGGTATTACACTCAGCATTAAGTCACTCTTCACATCTGACTTCACCAGATTCTGATTATCTCTTTTGGTTTGTCTCATTCCAGGCGGAGTACTTGTTGAAGAAGAACCCCTTAAACCACTGAAAGTAGTCTTGAGGTTGCACCCACATATGGTACAAACTGAAATGAAACCATTTTTTTTCCTTAGCTCTTCAATACATTAAAGACTGAAGTCAATTGCATGCAGGATTCCTATTAGTAGAAAACCTCCTGGAGTCTTTTAGACTTGTCACAGTATTTCAGCCATCACATGCCAAGTGTCCCTCGGTTCATGCTGGGATTTTGATTAGGTCTGATTTGTAAGTGGCCCATTCTCCTGCCCCTGTTGTATTTACACACAGCTTTGTTTGGGCTCTTGTGTGCCGGCCATTACTTAAAAGCACCCTAAAAAAGCGTATGAAAGTGCATATGAAGCCAAAAGCTAATTAGGAAGTTAATTTGTGTAATGAACTTGGTAAACTCCAAAGTAGGCATTCTCGGGTCATAATTGCTTTGATTTGGCTTCCGATATCCAGGAAGGATAAATGTTACAAATGGCAGCTCATTTGCGTCTCTCTCATGTTGCCACTCGCAACTCCAAAGTGTACATAATTGGTTGCGACGGAACACCAAATTATTTCATTGTACATACTTAATTACCACATGGGGAAATTAGTTGAGTTTATTTGGGAAACATTGTGACGCAAGCTGCTGCAAGACAATTTGACTGCACCATCTGTGAGTAGCAGGTACAAACACAACACAGAGAGTTCCTGAAAGTGAATCACACAACTGTGTTTCCTTTCACTCCTGTAGCTCGCTTCATTTGGACCGAACCAATGAAAGAAATGATGCACTGTTCCCTTTTAGTTCTGGTCCGTTTCATGTTCACAATGACTTTTACATGCAAAACAAGAGGAGTCAAATGGACTGATAGTTAACTCTGATTGGACATTTTTAATGACTGTTATCCTTTATCATCAGCGCTACATGGATCTGTGGAGGAAAATCAAATTCCTCCTTTACTGAATCCTGTGCAGTAGTACTCTCCAATGTACTATAAGGAGTTTTAACTGGTTATGAAACAGTCTCAGTTTAATACTGATGCCTCTATACGACCTACATAAATAAACCTTCAGATTGGCTATTTCTATGTAGTTCTGCTTACTACCTTCCACCGTGATCACTTCTCACTTCCCGGCTCTATATGCAAATAAACACAAAAGGGATGTACCCTACTCAAAATGCTGTCAGTCGATGTCTATCATTACTGTCCTTTTGGTCTCATGTTTTACCTGCGCTGTTAGCACCCCTGCAGGAGAGATTCTCCATGGTGGCTGTGGGATTTTATAACTGAACTACATAAGCAGTAAAAGTGTGCATCCTGCTCACACAATAAGACATCTGAGCTCTAAACTTCTAAAAATGGTTTAAAATGGTTTCAATTCCGAAGAGGTCAAATTTTACCAAAAACAACAATTGGAGGAAAATGCCAAACAATAAATAGAAATCTACGCAGCTGTAAAATGTATCCTCCCATTATTCAACTCAACTCAGATGTATGTGGTGAGCCTGTGGGGGGACAGGAACCACCGGACTAAACTAGCTGATTGTATATAAAGTAGTTCAGACCAGCTCCACCTGGAGCAGCTACAACAGTAGGATTCTATGTATGCATTAAAGGACCAGTGTGAAAGATTTAGTGGCATCTAGAAGCATAGTTGCTGATTACAACCCCCTCGCCCCACCC